AGTTTTTGTTGGGGTTGTTGGTTTAAGGGTAAGACTCTTGTTTGTAGATTCAATATTCTTTGGGCAATTTCAGCTTAAGGAAAACCCAGATTTTATGCCAGTACCTCTAAATAGAAGTATATCTTCAGGACCCTCCTCGTGAGGAGGTTCACCAAGCAATTGAAGATTGTCGAGGAGCTGGAATCAAGGTGATGGTAATAACTGGAGATAACAAGTCCACTGCTGAGGCAATCTGTCGCGAGATTCACTTGTTTAGTGAGGATGATGACCTTGCAGGGAGGAGTTTTAGTGGGAAAGAATTTATGGAACTCTCATCTGTGGAACAAATGAAGATATTAAATGAACCTGGAGGAAAGGTTTTTTCTAGAGCAGAACCTAGACACAAGCAAGAAATAGTGCGGATGCTAAAAGAGATTGGTGAGATTGTTGCAATGACTGGAGATGGTGTTAATGATGCTCCTGCGCTGAAACTTGCAGATATTGGAATAGCAATGGGCGTTACTGGAACAGAGGTAAGTGATTATACATCTACTTGTAATTGCTCTTTCCCACTATAGAGTTCTATTGTATTCATCAATCCATATCCTAAAAATTTAATTATCTAGTCAAAGGCAAATTAGCATTGCTTGTTTTTATGCATTTAATGATTTTGAAAATATTGTGAACTGTTAAGAACAATAAAGATCAGAGAAAAGACTAAACAATAAAGATCAGAGAAAAGACTAACAACAGAATAATAAGAATTAGGACAATAAAGAGTATAATAAAAATAAGAAAATGAGAGAATAGGTCAATAAGGTGTTGTATTGAGAACGAGGTCATTTTTTTACAGTGGGAAAGATAATTTTTTCTTTCCCTTCCCTCTCTACGTACTCTGATTTTTAAGTAACTGTGTGGTTAGTCACCAATGGAATAACTGTTGACAGCTTCTAACTAACTTTCCGTCTGCAGACTTTGCCCACTTGTTGCATTAATGCACTTGTCAAGTTAATTATTTTCATGCTAAGCATGTATTATTCCAAAGTTCTCAGGTTCACCTGTTTTTACTTTTGGTTGAATGATAAAAGAGAATGCTTAAGACATTTCTGAGTTACTGCAAGTCGAAGTAGTGTAACTAGCCCTTTTTCTTGTTCTGCCTAAATCATTGATCTTTTAGGTTGCAAAAGAAGCATCGGACATGGTTCTTGCGGATGATAATTTCAGTACCATAGTATCAGCCATTGCAGAGGGTCGCTCAATTTACAACAATATGAAAGCTTTCATCAGGTTATTCACATTTTAACATCAGCTCTTTAAATATATTGAATGTTGAATTTTAACGAGTTCTCACTGCAGATACATGATATCATCTAATTTTGGGGAGGTGATAGCCATATTCTTGACTGCTGCTCTTGGCATACCAGAATGTATGATACCTGTACAGTTGCTGTGGGTAAATTTGGTTACTGACGGTCCACCTGCCACAGCACTTGGATTTAACCCAGCTGATGTTGACATAATGCAGAAACCACCGCGGAGGAGCAATGATGCTCTAATAAGCTCTTGGGTGTTGTTCCGCTACATGGTTAGTATTCGCCATTATCCTCTTTAACATTTTTTCCCTCTCGATGCAGTATATTTTCCCTTCAAGCAGACAGGAAAGAGATAAAGAGTGTTATGCTGCTAAACTGGGTTGCCACTGTTTAAAAGGAAGTGGTTGAATTGTCCTCTGTGCAACTCTTATCCTCTTTTGCATAATCTAATTTTACATTGTTCTGTGGTGTCTGATGTATGACAAGAAACTGTCTGCAAAATTATCTGCATGCAAGGAAAGAAACATTATTGAAAGTTACCTGCATTTCGTTAATCACCTCTCACTGGCAGGTAATTGGGTCTTACGTTGGATTAGCTACTGTCGGCATTTTCATTTTGTGGTACACTCGTGCTTCCTTTTTGGGCATCAACCTCGTAAGTGATGGGCACACGCTTGTTGAACTATCTCAGCTTCGCAACTGGGGAGAGTGCCCCGGATGGTCAAATTTTGTTGCTGCTCCATTTACAGTTGCTGGAGGTCGTGTTATAACTTTTTCAAACCCTTGTGACTATTTCTCTGTCGGTAAAGTGAAGGCCATGACTTTGTCCCTATCTGTGTTGGTGGCAATTGAGATGTTTAATTCTCTGAACGCTCTCTCCGAAGATACTAGTTTGATCAAAATGCCTCCATGGAGAAACTGTTGGCTGCTGCTTGCAATGTCAGTCTCATTTGGTCTACACTGCCTGATACTCTATATTCCTTTGTTGGCAGACGTTTTTGGAATAGTTCCCCTGACTTTGAACGAATGGCTTCTTGTTCTCTTGGTATCAGCTCCTGTGATCCTTATTGATGAACTCCTCAAATTTGTGGGAAGGAGAAAAACGCAGAGAAGAAAGGTCAAGGCTGCATGACAGTCTAGGTTAGAAGTATTGAATGCCTTTTTTTTTTTTTTTTTTGGGGCAAGGGACCTGTATACAATCATGTTTACAAGTGAAGAAATATTTCTTTGACTATTTTCAGATAACGCCCTTCAATTTTAGAATGAAAAATATCAGTGGTTATAGAATCAGTACGGCAAGAAATATCAGTAGTTTACACTAAACCAATCAGCAACAAATTTCATCCCCTCCCTATGCGCAATAATGCGTTGTGGCATTTCCTCTTAACTTTGTACCTAACATGGTTTCACAATTTCTCAACATGGTAAACATATCAAATAACGTCTGTCATAGTGTCACGTCTGTTTCTTCAGTAATAGAATCAATATCAGTTGTATACCCAAGAAGCTTAATTTTTACATGGACATCATCCAACAATGCATATATCTGACCACAATTTGGATGAGATCTATCGTCAACAATGAACCTATGGAGCTGGCCTCCTTCCTCCATGAAGCTATATCCTGCTGCTTTCGTTACTTGGGAGCTCTTCATTAGCTTCCTCAACTTAGCAACTCCATCCCATCTGCCTGCTGATGCATAAATATTAGAAAGAATCACATAGTTTCCTGGATTACAAGGTTCTAACTCGAAGAGAGACTCTGCTGCTTTCTCACCCAGCTCCACATTGCCATAAAAGCTGCATGCCCCCAGCATTGTCCCCCAAATAACAGAGTCTGGCCTCATGGGCATGCTCCGTATAAGATGATAAGCCTCTTGCAATTCTCCTGCACGACCTAAAAGATCAACCATACATCCATAATGTTCCAGTCTAGGAGTGACAGAAAATTTTTGCTCCATTGACTCGAAGAGTTCTCGTCCTTTAGCAACCATGCCGCCATGTGTGCACGCCAAGATTGCCCCAACAAATGTGACGTCATCGGGTGAAATGCCTTCCCCCTGCATCAGCAATTACAATTAGGGCAGGAAAGATGTGAATATCCGCCTGAAAGATTCGGAAGTAGCAGTTGGTCCTATAACCGAGTATGTCTCTGTAATTGATTTTGGGGCACAAGAAATATTTCTTGTGCATTTGATAAAATGATCGGCCTTGAACTCAGTTAAAAAGCTATATTCGTCACTGGTTACAAGCAAAATGCTATCATTAAAAACCAGGAAATGTGGTGATGACGAGGTATAAGATTCAGAGAAAGCTTCTTACTTACCAACATTTGGTTGAAAAGGTCCAGAGCCTCGCAGCATTTACCATGGATAGCTAGACCCATAATCATAGTATTCCAAGAGCACAAATCTCTTCTTCTCCCAATCTCATGAAATAATCTCATCGCTGAATCTATTCTACCACACCTCGCATACATTTCCAATATGGCATTGCACACAAACATGTTGTTTAAGTATCCGTTAGACTTGGCATAGGCCTCAATCCTCTGCCCCACTTCCAATGCTCCAAGATTTGCACAAGCTGGAAGAACACTAGCTATGGTCACTTGGTTGGGCTTCACTCCTTTCTCTTTCTCCATTTCCAGATACAACGCCAATGCATCGGCGTACTCGCCGTTCTGAGAGTAGCCCGATATCATTGCCGTCCAAGAAATCACATTCCTGGAAGGCATATTAGAAAAAAAGCGAGAAGCTTCCCTCATATCCCCACTCTTTGCGTAACCAGCGATCAAGGCGTTCCAAGTGGGCACATCTCTTGTGGGCATCCCATCAAACTGTTTTCGCGCTAAATTGAGCAGGCCCAGTTTAGCATACATGTCCACCAATGCGGTTGAGGCGTAAATATCCGATTCGAAACCCCATTTGACAAAATGGGCGTGAAGCGCTTGGGGCTGGAATGGATTAGAGAGACTGGTACAGGCGTTAAAGAGGAAATTGAAGGAGTGGGCGTTGGGTATGAAGCCTCTGAGTAGCATGGCGACGTAGACAGACAAGCATTGGCGAGGAGTGCCATGAGAGGAGTAGGCTTGAATGAGCTTGTTATAATGAAACACGGTTGGGTTGGGAATAGTATCGAGCAGTTTGTGTGCGTACGAAAAATCGAGAGTTTCTGCGAGTTTGGTTACAAGAAAAGCGGTGAAGTCTGTGCCGTTTCGGAGAGTGTTGGCGTGTATTTCTCTCAATCTCAACTGGTTCATAAGAAAGTCGGGACAAAATGCAGTATTGACAAAGAATCGAGGTTATAAAGTTTACAAGTATCTGCTGGCTTTTGGAGCGCTGGGCTTTACAGCTTCTACTTGTAAGTTATTTTCTTTTTGCTGCTATTCTGTTCGATAAAAGGAGCGCCCTTTTTGCCTTTTTCTTCTTCTTCTTCTTCTTCTTTTTTTCCTCCCTAAACGTAAGCAATCTCTGAAACCAGCCCAAGAGGGCACCGGATAGAAAAAATGGGAAAGAGTTTTGTATGCAGGCCAGGCGTTATTCCTTTATGATCAAAGCACAGGTACTTCAACTGCTATTTGTTTTTTTGTCTTTGGGCATGTCTCCACTAGTATAAAACGTATCCTTTTTATCAGGTTCTGCGAAAATCTACAAGAAGGAAGTGTATTCTTTAAACTACTAACCGGTTACCTATACACCACACAACAGAATCACGTACGCACTTGATCAATTGTAAAAGAATGTTGGCAAGATTTTCCAAAATCCCCAGCTTGACAAATGACTACTAGTATCTCCTTCAAGGCCTCCAGGAATTTGGGAACTTTCTCCATTTACAATTCAAGCACAGAACAAGCAGAGGTAGCTGTTAAACTAGACCCAACTCATATCTTGTGATGCCATGAAAGAGATATTCAGGTCAGCGGTTATATATAGCCGGCATACATCCACGACTGAAAAGCCGCCTTAGCTTACACTAAAAATCAAACATAAGATGCCCGTCAACTCTCTGTGCCTGATTAAATGGCGGTAACCAACGTAACAAACCATGGCTGCTCTCGCTTATTGCTAATTGGAAAAAAGGCCATCTTTATCTAGAGATGACGAGTGGTGGCCCGACCTGCTACCAACTTCAGAAACCTCTGCCTGATTATGGAGCAATTTGCTAGGGATGATTGATTTCCTAAACCCTTTGTACTCATCAGGATAAGTAGGTTATGCTCCTGCTAGAAATAAGAGGGCTGTTCGTGTAGCACATTCAGTTGAGCTAGTATCCTGCCTGCCAAAGGCTTTATTTGGGTACTCCCCCTTTGGGTCAAATCAACTAAAGGCATCTGAGCCGAGGGCCCATGCTTCTGTTTGATCTCCGGCACTTGAAAAATCTTTTCCAAAGAAGTGAGAATTTTTTCTTGCAATCTGGGAGAAGAACTCCCCAGTAATTTTATCATAGAGGGTATGGCTCTCTCTTCATCCAGCACCTTACTACCACCATGTAGCCCATCACCTTCAACCAACGTAAGTAGAGCATCCAAGGAAGCTTCACATGCTCCAGGATCTGGCTCCCCAAGAACCTTCACCAAAAGGCCCACCGCACCAGCCTCCAAAAGGCAAAATGAGGTTCTTACAGCACATATTCCCCGATGAACAGGGCAGCCTGCCTCTGGCAAAGCTGGGAAGCACCAACACATGCGATGCTTTGGGATTGGCCGACATAGATCACTAGAGCTCTCAGAAAGTTGTGAAAGAGAAATGGCAGCTCGTCTTTTTGTCAAGCTGGTTCCTGACTCCAGCAACTGTACCAACAGCGGAATGACATCAGCTTCAGCTGCTTTCTGCTGTGACGTCCTATTTGCTGGAACAGTGAAATGACACAAGGCTCCCACAGCATTCTCTATTAATTGATCCTTGCAGGGACCATTTGGCTTTTTGCTACGAAGGAATCTTAACATTATACGAAGACCATCTCCCTCCAACAGCCAATTAGACACCGGGGTAGACATGGGAAGGTTAGCTATAATACCCAATGCAGAAGCAACTTCTTCTTCATTCTCAGAATCCTCAATGATTCTAAGCAAGGTTTGAACTGTCTTCTGCCCCACGTGCTCAGTAATTGTAGCTTCATTACATTTTTCGATCAGGCAACATAATAGCTTAACCGCATTCACCCGCACTTCATGATTATCACACAATTGAACAAGTATTTGCACAGCACAGCACTGAAAATTATTAAGAGAAATATTAGCATATATAGGATTGGAAGTCTATCACAAGTCCAAATCTCCATTGACTGTATAGAAATAAAAATATTGAAACTCCAGTCCACACCAGTTGATCAAGAAGTAACAAGACTCTTCTTCCCAGGTATCATCACATGCAAACTTATTAAAACTAACTTCTGCAAGAGAAGGACGAGGAGAAGTGGGATGACAAGTGTTAACTCTGGTTGGATAATGAATTAATCCTTCTAGAAACTTAACGAGGTTCTAGGATTTCAAAGGCTCAAACCCACCATCCATAAAATGATGTTTGTAGCTGTTACTGTAATGAAATACATTAAATCTTCTGCACTTAAAAGTAGACGCAGAAATTACCCAATGTTGTTACTAATAGCTAATAGTAACTGTGAGTAATAGTGCATGACAACAAACATAGCATGAAGCCAATGGGATCACAGAAACAGAATGCAGAGTCATCCAATATCAAGTATCCAGAAGTTTGGAGTGCCAAAAATTTTTGCTTCTCAAGAGGGCAATCGAAAGAATATACAGGAAAGATTTTTTTATGCAGGTTATTCCTTGATCATCAAAGCAAAAAATAAAAACCTTGTGCATGGGTTCACTCATCAAAAGTCAGACTTCGGAGGTTATGTGTGTCAGTTTCTTTAAAAGATCATTGCCAAGTATTTAGAAACTATAAATCAGCGAAATCACATTTTACACATGAGCTTACAGAGAAATTTCATGAGGGAAGATTTTTCAAAGTAAAGAATGTTATAGTGTATGTTTGCTCGTGTCTTTTATATGAAGCAATTCCTACGTATTCTTATGTCTTTAATTGAAGTATCTTTACTGGAAGATGTCGATAAAAGACACCTAAACGTACAACTTTTGATCAGTAGACATACCATTTCAAAACCGCAAAGAAAGAACAGAATTTCTCATAAAAAAGCACTTGGTGGTGGTGCAAATTAAATCCATAGATATATCAATTCACCAAAAGACATGTCTATATGAATACCTGAAAAGAGAACCTGTGTCTCATCACGAAAAGACATGATACACCATAACTAAATGTATCAAGTTAGTAGTACGACATATGCATAAACATTTTGATATCATTCTCATCCTCCAATGTAACTCCCATAAATCTGCCAAGCACTCTAGTGTTTAGGGAATTCATTTCCTTGGAAGGAATAGATCAATTTTATACTATACTGTGTCCTAAAACTCAAGCTAAGCCCTCTAAACCACACCAAATCTGGTGAGTGCAAATTATACAATCAGAAACACAACAGTTAAACATGCCCAAGCTATGTCTTTTGCTACTTACTGTAATGCATCTAACACTATCTGCAGTTGTTCTCCAAAATCTTATTTAAGAACGCGTCAAGCAAATTGTAAATATTTCATTCATTAATCAGTCTACAAATGCTCATTTCTCATGTAACTGATGATATACTATTCTGGGGAAATAAATGCCAGTTTTTATCAAGACTAGTGAGTGTTGTCCAAGTATAGAGCTTTGAAAACTATCCACTTTAACAAGCAAGTTTAAAAACTATTCACTAAACATAGATTCTGACTTACGATGTTGTCATTAAAGTCTTTTAGTAGTCTGAGAATGCAGTGAAAGTATTTTGAGAGCAAACTTGCTTTTTCCTTTACAAGAAAGTGCATTTTCACGTAGATAATCCACACAAAAAAAAAAAAAGAATGAGATATTCTTTCACTCAAACTAAATACCTCGTTCAGCAGTTCCTGGACTGTAGTTGCCGATGGAGACTGGCAAATGGTGTAAAAGGCCTGGAGAAGTCTCTGTTGTACAGCAGGCCATGTCAAGTTAATCAAGGAAAACAATTGGCGGGTATCCTTGGATTCCAATAAGGAAAGCTCCATTTCTGAAGAATCTTGACGTATAGTTGATAGAGCAAGATGCACGATAGTTTCAGCTACAAGTTCACACAAGTTTTGTTGGGATGTGTGACAATAAAGAATATCAAGCAGTGGACGTACTGCACCTTGTCTTATCATCTCCTGGCCATTCTTTGTTAAGCTCGAGAGGTTCAAAATGGCTTTAACGGCTACCATTTTCATTTCAAGATTACCATGCGAAACCAAGTTAAGTAGCGAATCCAGAACACCTTCCTCAAACAGAGATGATTTGTTATGATCAGTAAACTCCATCTCTCCAAGAGTTTTTGCCATTCTCATCTTGACATCATCTGATCCTGTAGAGGGGGGTCAGGGTGGGGAGGATGTTTGAGTTTGCGATCTCAAGTCAGTGATAATTGCTATAACTACAATATATGAGACTTCTCTTAGTACCTACACTATTGGAGATAATGACCACATAACCCCCAAAGAAAGGGCTTCATGCGTTACAAAGAAGACAGGCAAAGATCACATGCTAATATTTCTGCATGACCTCCTTATTATGTGCCAAAATTGTTGGTTCCACATCCATAGACATTATTAACTTACAGTTCTACATGTACCAATTGTCAACATTTAAGCTACACGAACAACTTTAATTCAAGAACCAGAACCTACCTAGGGTAATGTTAACATAAACAAGGACTCACTAAACAGCTCAAAAGGCCCAAGAGTAACAGCTGACTGTTTATCCATCTTAAGCAAATTAACTGGACTTTAGAACTAGACATAGAGCTAAGGTTGTGAACACAGGGGTACTATTCCCTCTTAGTGTACTGTATTTCTTCTCAATTTTGAAGTATGCATGAAGTAATAAAATAAATATTCTTCATTGTGTCTTCTTCCTAGCGTCAATCCATTTTATCGCGGGATGAATTAAATTGATTATTTTTGCTGGTATTTTTATTTTAAAGATCTAATCCTGCTCTTCTGGTATTTTTGCACATATCTTGCAAATTGTGATTTTGAAATTACCAAATATTGTCTGCCTGCTGCTGAGAGAATGGCAAATCTGGCAGATTAACTCTTTAAACTCTCAGGTGAAGACGACCTTTGCATTGGACAGAAGGATACAATTTTCTATATTTCCTAGTTAATAATCTGCTGTAAATGAGGTTGATCATAAACACAAGGCTACCGCAGTAAAGGTTCAGGATTCATGACAATAGTATTTAGAAGCTGAAGCTACTCTTGCTTTTAGTTATCTGGACTATATTCACTTGTCAAAAAGTTGCTAATTGTGCAAAAGCAACGTCACGGTGACTGCAAATAATAGCAGAACAAATATCTAGCAGTCCTATAGCTGTAGAAAATTTCAAACATAAAATGACTGATCTTATGTGAAAGAAGAACCTGAAGAGAGACGTTGCAGCAGATACTTGAAATAATTAGCCTTGACCATTTGTATAACATTGTCATCAGAGAATGACAGATTTTTTAACACATCCCTTGCATCTCTGGAAGCTTGATTGTCATCACTTCTTGTCAGATTCACCAAATAAAATATGCAGCCCTGCACCTCTCCAATGCAGTCACGTATTGACTCACTCTTTGCCAGTTCTAGTAGTAATCCCACGGCCAACTTCCCTACCCCAATACGACGTCCAAGGGAGCGAACAATAGATTCCATTGCATTGTCAACTTTAACTATACTTTCCTGCATAACATTCCATTGGAATCCATGTATAACGTTCTGTACAATATATTCAACCTAGAGCTCGTTGATTGGGCGTTTTTGAAACAGAAACACATTATTCCAGCCAGTAAAATACAGACATCACTGATGCAAAGTCATGATATTGACTACGGAGTGCAAGGCTGTATCTCACAATAAGTTTGATAAATTTAAGTGCACATCCTAACCACTATTAGTTTAATAACAAATTCATTTCAATACAGAGTTGCACAGGAGTTTCCTAATAGCAAGTATGGGCTGTCCAGGTCAAATTCTTAGGAGCTAAAACAGCTATACAATATTATAAAGAAGTCAAGTGATACAATAGTACACCTATGCTCTACTGGAAGAGACAAATGAATGTTCTATTTTCTAGGTAAGGATCCTAAAACATCATCAGATATTCAGATTCATGAGAAAGAGAGTAAAAAGTACCTTACATTCATCACTATCCTTTGCCAGGATATGAAGGACGAGAAGAGAACGACTTATGATCTCTCGACTTTTTGCACTGAGAAGGTTAACAAGCATTGGTATATGGTCCTCCAGTACAACCCATTCCCGATGTATTTCTCTTTTTTCACAGAGTTCCTTTAGCTCTTGCAGGCAATCAAGCACCTCACCTTCCTCTTCTGATGACAGTCTTGATTTCATAGAGGCTATAGTGATCATGGTATTTCTATCTCTCCATTCCTCAATGGACTGTCTCAAAGTTTTGTTAGGCCGCAACATTGAGGTGTCTAAAGGAGTTGAGGTTAGGGGACAGAAATTTTTTTCAGCCAACCACTTCTCTATTGCACTCCTCTCAAATGTATGTCCAGAAGGAGTCTCTACCGGATCTTTCATTACTTCTTTTGTAATTGGGCAACAAAATGCCTCGAGAGGTTCAAATGGATGACTAGCTAAGGATTTCCTTATTGTGAAGTACTTCTTTTCTTTGTCCTCACGAGTACTTGCAGCATCTGCCCTTTCTAATAGAGCAATTATTTGTTCCATCTGCATGGCTTCAGCATGATCTTTCCTCAACCTTTCATTTTCTATCTCCTTTTTAAATTCCTCAAATTCCTTCTTCAATACAGCTTGTTCTGTTGAAATTCCAATGGCCTCTGCTATGGAAACCAATAAATTATTGGCATATGAGCGGTCCACATTCCTTTCCTGTATACCCAACTCAATTCTCTCCAAAATCTTTTCTTCAACTACGGCAGCCCTAAACTCTGCAGCATGCATACTGTTGACTAGTTGAGTAATCTCTGCCTCAATTCCTGATGAGATATCAAGAGAGGCCAAGGGAATGCAGCACAATGCTTGGCCTATCTCCCTAGTAATATTTTGCATCCTCTTAGCTATCAAACGGCAGTTCATTAGGAGATAAAATTTGTTTTTTTCGCTGCACTCGGTAATCAGTTCCTGTGCAAGCTTTGTCTCACGGTTAAGAACCTCAATCAAAATTTTCAATGCTTCAGAATCTCTGGCATCCTTCTGATTCAACTCCTTAAGGAGGGGAATTAGCCGATCTAAGTAAGATGAAAGTTGAGCAAAACTCTTGTTCTCAATGAGAACATATCTGGATGTGTGTACTACCTCGATGATGCCCTCTATGGTCTGAGATAGGACATCAGCAAAAGGAGGACTCGATATGGCATCAAGAACCATCTTTAGAAAGACTAAAGACCCTCAAGAATCAAAATTTGGATTGAACCAATAAAACTAAATGGAGTAATAGTTATGGCATTAAGAACCATCCTTCAACCAACTAAACACCCTTTAGAATCAAAGTTTCCAGGAAACCATTATACTACATCCAGTTGGTCGATAGCTGAATCTAAAAGCTCGATTCCCAACTCTTTTTGTTAGGAGAACCTATATTCCAGTTTTCAGAAACGCCCATCAGACAAATAGCATTTGTTTATGCAATAACATGCATGTTTACGTTGCAGATGAGAAAACAGAGGACCATTTCTATGTGCAGCCAAATTCAAAACCTTTTTTGTACATGTTTCTCTCTCTCTCTCTCTCCCCACGAAAGAGAATTCAACAACATCTAATAAAGATTACAAAGCTACAACAGGGCATCAAGAAAGTACAAAAAGAAAGCAAATTCAGAAAAATAAGCATTTACTCAAGAGGCAGAAACATAAAGGACCAAGCAAAGCAAAACAGAGTAAGCACACGGCAGAAATAGTCAACAGAAGTAAACGGCTTAACAAGATAACATTTGCTATTAAGGGCTGAAAGATCAGATCTTTGAAACTCCTAAACAAGAATTCCAGGGCTAGTACTCAAAAACTCCAGCAATTATCTGCTTGAAACAAGGTTACAAGAAAGTACATACATGAAAAAGAATGCCCGCTGGAGGTTTTTTTTTTTTTTTTATGGGATATGCATATATTTGTTCCTGAAACTAGTAGGAAGCAAGACTTGGTATATAAAAGAGTAGAAAGTGGTGCTCCAATTTCCAACTCTAACAAAGGAGAGAACCTCGTCTTCCTTTTCTTTTAATTTGCCGGGAGGCAGGACCAGACTTGAGATTGTAATGCAAATACTCCATTAAATACACAGAGTTACTCTGAAACTCAGTACTCCGGCCTCCAGGCAGTCTATTCTAGTACTAGTAATTGCAAATACTTCTGCGAGAAATTTGCCAATTTGGTCCTTGAACTTTTGCATTAAAATTAATTTCACCCTTAATGATTTTTTATTATCAGAGTTTGTTTGGATAGTAGTTTGTTTGGATGATTTATTTGAGATAATTACTGTAACATTTTTTGTGATGTGATATATATGAGATAAAAAGATGATTGGGAAGATAAAAAGGTAATTAGAATTTATGAAATAAATTATTTTATTTCAAAACATTTCAATCCAATTATATCTTCTGTTTCAATGTAGGCATTCGTCACCACATTGTATCTCCTTTCCAACACCAATTAAGGGTATTCTGGCAGATAAGCGCTTAAAACTGTAATGTAGAAAAAGGATAGGAAAAATGTTTAAAACATCGATCACAATTTATAAAATAATTTTTTCATTCTTCACCTTTAAAAGTATACTTTTATATCCTCGCAAATTCACAGTGTACCAACAAAGTTACAGACCTTAAGGACAGAAATCGGCCACGCTGCTTTTTTTCTACTATCAAAGCCAAAAAAGCGCAACAAGACTTGGTCCGTTCTTCGTCTTCTGATAGAAGAATCAGTCCGCAAAGCTACATTCGGAGCAGGACGCCTTGATGGATTAAACCCAAAAGGACATCTCTCCCAAATCCGAATCCGTATCCAACACTTCTTAACTTCTCAATTCCGGCTAGCCCACAGGCCTGAAATAGAGATCAATGGAAGAAGAAGCTTTGTTGCAGGGATGTCTGAAAAATTGTTAATTTTTATTTTCACCCCATTTTAATGAAGCTTTGATTTTTCTCCCCAACTTAGTTCATTATTTTTATATTCTTAATTTTTACGGAGCTATATATAATACCCCTACTTTTTGTGACGGAAATATCGAAATACGTAGCCCCGCCACAAAAGGATTTGATTGGACACTAAATAAAACTTGAAGGACTGCAATAGTCAACAAAATTATTATGGACTAAATTGGTTCTAGTGAAAAAGTTTTAAGAACAAAAATGACGAATTATGAATTAGTATTACTTTGTTTCGCTTCTTTCATAAAGTTTTTTTTTAAAAAAAATTTGATCTTAAAACTACTAAAAGAAAGTTTTAGGTCACGAAAGTAAAGTCCTCTTGGTTAGACTGACGGTATATTTACCAATAAAAGGGGTTAAACCAGTGATACTGGAAAATGCAGGTGAGGTTTGGGTAGGTTTGAGACTTTGAGAGAGCTGTGAAGGATAACTTATCAATGTAAACACCAGTAAGGCCTGCCACCCTAAAGTATTCAAGGTAACAAAATTTGAAAGATTGTTTATGAGTTGAGTGTCATGTGTAAATATATTATAAAGAGCATCTTAATGCATTTCTTTGGTTAATAAAGGGAAAAAAATTTGTTGTAATAAAAAACAATGTATATTATGACAATTCCAGTTGGGTTACACAGGTTTAACTGGTGCTAAATATTTTAAGATAATTTAAAATATCATTAAATATTAATTTATTAATGAGCAAAAGTGAAAGAGAAGAATGTACAGTGCATTTGGCAGCAATAATAATCTTTATCTTTGTAATAAATCGCATTCAATTTTAAATATTTTTTCTGTTTTTGAAATTAAGTCCCTTTTATTTTTATGCAATAATATAAAGTTGAAATAATTTAATACACTTTTCAAACTCTAGATTTTTGAGAGATGTAATTCAATTGGAGTACCATTTACATGATCATTTCAAGTTATATTTGACGAATTAACTTAAGTTTTGATCGAATTTCAATGTTCATCGCCAGAGTTTCCAATAATATAAAAAATTAATAAAATATTTTTATTAATTTTTATGTATAACAATATTTTATTAATAAAAATTAATAAAATATTGCTAGCCTTAAACTGTAATAAAAGATGACTAACAACTCATATGCTAGTTATGAGAGTAATTAGTCCTTAACTTACTTTTTTTTGAGTCAACCGAATTTTTACACTTCTGGACTAAACACTAAACAAGATTCCAGCAGGTGTCAATAAATAGGACTAAATGTGCTTAGAGATTAAAATATTTGAGACTACATTTACTTTCTTTAAAGCTTTAGGAACCAAAAGCATTCATGTTCTAAACATTTGGGAGCAAAAGTGCAATTATCTCCCCTGTTTAATGCTATCAAACCACGAATTTCTTAGTACACAGCCCAGCAAACGCGCCTTGGTTACTGGGCACATACTTTTCAACTCTTTTAAACACTGCAAAAACAGGAAAATGGCAAATACTTGAGTAGACCCGCTAGTAGTCCAAATTTTGCCGCATCATCTCGCCAATTCATGAACTGATAGTATGATAAAATTTGAATCACATGATCTATAAAACTAGATCTGTCCAAGTTTTTGCCCAGAAAAATACCCCTCTCCTCAGTCATGGCCCCGCACTCACCCTACCATGGTCAGTTGATCACGTCCAAAGTCCGAACGAACCGCTAATAACAGCGTCCAACCGCGTTTTACCAAGGCAGAAAGCCACAACAACGGTCATACTCGTATACCCACAAAATTCTCTGTTCCCTCCGTCCAGCTTCAATGGTTTTGATTTTTTTTCCACACATAATTTGTAAAAAATTAATTAACTTTATTGAAAAATAAATATAATCTAATATTTTTTTTAAATAAAAAAAATAAATATTCTGTTCCCCAGCCCTTGGATTAGACAACAAAGTCTACCACTATTAATTATGTCATGGATTACGAAGAAAATCGTACAAGAACAGAACTTTTCTATAAGCCTAGTAGTAACACTTTCTTTACTGAGGGAGCAAAGAGGAAGGATTACTTGTCCGGATAATCTGAAGATACTTGCAAAATGATCACATCCAAGACTTGAGGATGACACATCTCGTGAGCTGCGGGGATGGAGGACATCCAGCATAGAACGATCACAGAATTTAAATTTGGGTGAAATGGACGGCAGTAGTGTGATCTTCTCACCAAAATAGTCTTAGCTAGGGCAACAGTGCTAGACCAGTTTTAGGTTCATTTGGAAAGGGGCTATGGGAGGAGCCTATGTACCTGGCACCTCTTACAAGGGTATGGGACTGAAAGCGTCTACGAGCACCAACCGAGGGCTCAATTAATCATTTTAATCAGAAACAGAGGGGGTGACAGAAACAAAAAAGCTCATCTTGTTAGTTGTTACAACCAGAGATCGAGACAGAGAGATTGAAGGCAAGAAGGATATTAGTATGTAGTTCTTCAGAAGAATGGTAACACGGATTTAGACTAAAGGAATTGCAGCCTGAGAATGTGATAAGGGAGTTCAAATTCCTACTGAATCCGATTTGTTGAAATTTATTCACAGACGGCAAAATGTGTGAAAGGGAAACGAATCTTGTTAGCTTTCCCTGGTGCTACAATGCATGTTTTTCTCGGTTCTTGCCTTGCAGGCGTGCAAAGGTTGCTGGCCGTCTCAGCACATTTTGTGAAACAGTGACTTTTAAGAAAATTATTTCAAGCGGCCATGACGAATGTGGAATGTTTTAATAATCAAAGAGACTTGCGATGAGATCTGTAACAAATGCTTATGAATCTAAAAAGGCATAAATATCACCAGATCGTTTTGACTGGCCATTGCTACTGGAGTATTTGATTTTCCCTCCAAGCTCGTTTGTATGCAGATGGAGTAGCATAAAGATGGACCCCGAGAAAACAATCCCAGAGGGCTCCCTTTAAGGAAAGAGTAGTAGAAGGGGGTCCATCTCAGGCTGTCCCATGTCTGGTCTTGGTGGACGACCAACCTCTCTTTCTTTCTTTCTTCTTTTTTTAAACTTCAATAATGATAAAGATGAGGTGAACATGAACATGTTTGGGGGCACAGCCCCATCCATGAATGATAACATCTAGTGTGAGCGAGTACTTTTATGGTATGATCATTTTTCCCTTGCATTTCGCCTGGAATTAAGGTAGGGCTCCCTACCATACACAAAGTAACAGCGAATCGACTTTTCAGCCTCGTAGGGCATGGATATGTCCCTAGTCAAGGACTTAAAGGTAGTTGTAGCGTAGTAGTACTTCTTCTCTTTGGCCATGCATTGCTTTATGCTTTCTCCCAACTCCCAACTCCCGACTTTTAATTAATTCCCTCCATAAGAGAAAGAGTAGTAGCCTAGTACTAATACTACCATATGCCACCGGGCACTGATCAATAGGAAGTTTTGGGAGTTCTATTATTATTAGATAGAAGATACACAGAAACAGCAGCATCACGACAATCATTTATCTTCTGATCCTCCTCCTCCCACATGCTATTTGTGGGTTGGGCACGTACGTGCATTTTCCAACTAATAATAATGATGGAAACTTACCAAACTCACTCTCAAGTCAGTTTGCTCATTGTCCATCATATAAAAGAGCTTTCTTCACCTTCACTTGTTCTAGCTTGACCCCCTCCTCCTCCTCCAGGATCGGAGATCAATAGTGACCAGGCTCAGTACTTGTCGTCCAAGCTCAGATAATTGTAGGTAGCACTTAGCAGTCGCTGCAAAAAAGACCAGCGAGTAGACGGTACTCCGTATATAAATATATATAATACTCGATCAGAAGCTAGCTTAATTTTGTCCATCAGCCTCTCTCTTGATTAGGACTTGCCACTGCAGTTGAGTCCTGTGCGGCAGAGGCGAATTGGGAAAAATGGAAGAGGTGAAGAATGGCGCGGAAGGTAGCAGGGGTGGCCATGATCATGTGAAGAAGGACGACAATGTTGGAGATCAGATCAATGAAAAGGTAGACTATGTGTTCAAGGTGGTGGTGATCGGAGACTCTGCGGTGGGCAAGTCTCAGATACTGTCCAGGTTTACCAAGAATGAGTTCTGCTTCGATTCCAAATCCACCATTGGAGTCGAGTTCCAGACCAGGACTGTCAACATCAACTCCAAAGTCGTCAAGGCCCAGATCTGGGATACTGCTGGCCAAGAAAGGTACCCCATCACTAC